TGATTTTTGAATAAAATGAGGTGTTTATATGATAAAAGTGTTTTCATAAAATCATTATCTTCGCTTGATTGGTTGATTCAGCAGCTGTTGCATAAGTCTCACGTTTCTCATTAGCATAAACATTTTATAGTGGTATATTTTATGTCACATTATATTTTAATATGTTAAATTTACTTTTTTGATACAAAGTATTTTGGATATTGATTGTTGTTATATCAATAAGATGGTAATATTACATTATGTTTTTAACATATACATATATATATATATATTATATATATATTAACTATTTTGTGATTGCTTATAAATAGACTAATGTCAATTAAATCGAAACATAGCACTAATTTTGTATTATTATACATTTTGAACATTTCTAGATTTTATAATTCAAAAATAGATTCAAATTTTGATWACATTCAGAATTCTAACAAAAATTATTAAATATAATAATAAAAAAAGACAAAACTAATAGTTAGTAAGTTTCGTATTAAAAAAAAAAAAATAATAACGAAGAGAATACGCTCCAAAATATTTTTTTCACAAGAAAAGTAATAATAGTAAAAAAAAGTTTCATTTCCTATGTTCCCATTATCCTTATCTGTAATTCTGTAAACTGTGAATTAAAACACAATATATACATTTTTCTAACGAAAAAATAACCATTAACCATAACCATATAAAATAGTTGCGAAAATTATTTTATAATAGTTTTTTTTTTATTAGCCATTAGTCATGGACTATTATGGCTCAACAATTATTACAATATTAGGGAATTTAATAATATTGTGTGAACTGTACGATGTGATCTGTATGCTTAAGATAAATGAATCTAACCTAACTCTTAATAATTATAATATCTAAGTATTATATTTACAGACATTTTAAATATATTAAAATATTAATTATTTCAATAATTAAAACCTCTACAAACTTTGTATTATTTTCAGAAATTTATGTAATATAATTATAATTCTTAAATACTTCTTTAATTTATCGGACTAATTAATTTACATTATACAATTATATTATACATTTTATATATTTTAACTATAATTAACTATGACATTTACCACAAATTATACTTTTTTTTTATAATTCATAAAGTTATAAGTTATATAATTATATTTGATATTGTAAATAAAACAACATAGTATTATATGAAAGGTATTTATATGAACATTTTTTAACTCAAAAAATTAAAAACGTTTTTCATTCTAAAATCATATAAATGATTTAATTTTGTATAAATATTGTTTTAGCATAATAATATAAGTACTGAAATTAATAATAACTGTTATAAAGAAAGCWAAATTTAATATTAATTTTCAGAGYGAGAAAAAACATTATTTTTTTTTGCATTTATTTGCATTAATATATATAACAGTATATTATATTCAAATACATTTTTAATAAATTATCTGCATAATGTAGCTCTTTGAAATAATATCGGAAATATTACATAAAATCAATATTTATGTATGATATTTTCTAAAATTACCTTATCGTTATCACATTTTCCAACCAATAGTTATCTCTAAAAATATACATAACTCATCTCAAAGTTCAAAAATTACTTTCCCGTTTTCAAACTAGTGTAAAAATGTTTGACGCATTTCTTATTTACATTAGGTACTACAAAACTAAAAAAAAATTTATTCAACAAAAAACCACCACTTAACAACAATTTTATTAATTTTCAAAGTAAGCCAACATGCTCGACATTTGTACAAAATTAAAATTTTTAGTATCAAATGAATTCAATTCAATAATTAAAATAAAATAAATTGGTTTTTCCGGTTGTTTGAAATTAAAGTTTGTTTTAACTAAAATGTAGGTGCCTACCTAATGTTAGATTAAGTTGCATGATATTTATTTTTTTATATCCATATCGATTATTTGCGACTACAGACAAATAAACAATCATTGTGGATTGCCATATTATTATTTGATGTGACATAACTTCGCTACCGTCGGCGGGCAATGAAAAACGACAAAGAGTTGGAAATGATATAATAATATTAGTATATAGTGCGAAACACTATCGAAAGGCATATTATGAACCGTATTCAATATTCATATTTTTACAATACTTGACAATTTACATAAATATTGGATACAAACTCATACAAACTTTATTAATCATTTTCTGATACTCCAATATATGAAATAGTAATATCGATACGGGAGTAATCTTTTAATCAGCTAAGTTTTTCCTATAACCGTGTTTTTTTTTATGACAATTTAAATTAGTGAAATTGCTTACAGTAATTTGTGTATTTACCAGCTATATAGTAAAAATAGCTCCAATTTGGCCAATGAAACACATGGGCTTAAACATCAGATACGTTTACACAGAATACCAAAGTAATTGTGTAATTTAATTGTTTTTTATAATTATAAAAATATATCAGTCTGAAATTCTGAATGTTACACGTGTAATTTTCATTATTCATTTAATTTTATTYCACCRAATTCATTATAAATAATTTTATTTAAAAAAAAATGATCAACAATAATAATTTAAAAAAGTGGGTAAGTCGTGGATGTCGCTCTGCTGTACAGTATAGGTTACAAATGGGTTACTGTAATGGATGAAATTAAATTTGAATCCAATGATATTATAATATCATTGTATACGAACAGCGATTCTGAACGGAGACAGTTTATCTATTTAGGATATATTATAGATTATTAAAGATTTTTAAATCTTTGATTAAAAAAAATTTTTTTATGAATTTCTAGCTTAAAATAATTTTCGAATTTTCGTGATTTTTACGTATGTTGTCAAAATTAAAATTTGAATGCTTGTAAAAAAAATTGTAACTATGTATATCATTTATTTTTCAACTGCTATTGTAAAAATATTTTAGGAGCTTTGTATTAAAATTTCAAATCTTAGATATCAAAGGAAAATTTTTTATGAATTTCTAGCATAAAATAATTTASGAATCTTCGTGATTTTTATGTATGTTGTCAATATTTATAGAAAAAAAACTAAAACAGTTGAAAAATTAAAACGTCAATAAACAGCTCAAAACAAATATAAATATTTTGAAAATCGTATCAAATATATAAAATGCCTATATAAACATTCAGTGAAAATTTCAAGTATCTGCGGTCTTTTTTTTTAGAGTTACGCCAAAATAAGAAAATTTTACCATGTCTAGGTAAGAATAATGTAAGTAAAAAACAAATTTCAAGTTTTTACGAATGTTTATAATCAAATTATAACAAAAATACTCTCAAAATTAAAATGTCTATAAATAGCTCAAAAATGACTAACATTTTCCGAACTTTAAACCCTAAGAAACAAAATCTAAAATACAACAAAAAAAGATGTCTTATTATTTTTCATTTGAAACAATTTTTCTGGTAGAAAACGTCGTCCGTAATTATTTAATATTATAAAATCATGAAATCGTACGTTTTTTATCTTTTAACCACTTTGATTTCGAGTACCATTTCAAAAATCGAAAAATGACCTTTCTAAAGTACCAGCTCAAGAACATTACCTTTCAGGAAAGATGCTTGGTACTTTTGAGCAAGTTTAGAGGGAGAAAAAGTGTTTACAGATTGAAAAATAAAAATAAAATAAATAAAAAATAATTACAATATACTTACAAATGCATAACATTTAAAATACCAAAGTTGTAAATCCTATAAACACTCTTCAAATTTAATTTTCGGTGAAAAATAATAGTTTAAAGATATTATTTCCCTGGCTAATTTTAGTTATCATCATACTAAAAACACCATATTAATTTATCATACATACTGTCAGTTAAGGATACATAAAAAAGGTCTTGTCAAATTAAAGTTAATTTAAGGTCTCAATTCATTTAAGCAGCAAAAATACAACAGACGTAGGARATCTTCAGAACAGACTACATATCTACTATAACCAAAAACCATACTTTTGCGTAATAAACTTATACATATAATGAAAGTAATAATGTAACATTTTTTACACCCTATATTATATGTCATACACTTAACACACTATATAATATGATTRACCAATACAAAATATACACACTCAACACTTTTCTACCCGTACACAGTATTACTTATTATTAAAAAAACACACAACAGTGAGTTCGACAGTAACCATCAAGAGGGAGCGAACTCACCTATATACAAGGTATAACAGATATAGAACTGACTTTTGGACTAACTTTTTTTCACATTAATATTGTTTTTTTTTTGTTGTTGTTGTTCATTAAGTGAACCTAGCACTAAACGTATAAAACAAATTTTTATGTTTTATTTTTTAGAACTGAAAAAAAAATTAATTTAATAAAAAAATGTTGGATAATTTCAAAATAGCCTATTTGTTAATCTGATTATAAAAACAATTTTGATGGTAAAAATATTTATCTAAGTCAAGTAATTTATTTTTTAGAATTTATTTTTAAAATTCAAAATTTTTTGGTTAAATTAATTTGGAACGTAATAACTTTTCAAAAAATAATATGATCTTTGAGAATTTGCTGACAYGAGTATATTTCATAAATTATTTATTTATCATAAAATATTAAAAAAATTTGTCATATTTTTTTTTAGTGAAGTCTTTCTGTTACATCCTGTATAATATACTTATTGACAGCCATCTCCATRTTCAGTAAAGTGTTATTTTTGGTATAATATTCATTATAGATCTATAATATAAATATGTCTTATTGTTGATAAAATTACTTTATACACAGCTAGTGTCCTAACCCYCAGCTACGGAAAACTTATCCATAAGGAATAGAAAACCTTTTCTGGATAACTAATATCATAAAAAGGTTCCACCAACTACGTTTCAATCGTATAGAGATGGCGCCTCTAACATGGTGAGGGATTCCCTACAAAGAATAAAAATTAGCGAGTTACCAAATGGTAATATACTAATATCAGTCATTAGAGGTGAAAACAATAATATAGTCATAGTGRTCGTGCAGAAGTCTCACCCATAACATATATTTTATTATTATCTTAAGTTGATGTGCATACAATACCTTGAATTCGTGGGTCTTGGGGTCCATGTCGAGTAGTGAATAGTCGGCAATCCGGTCGCCGTTTGCATCGATATTGACGTCACCCGTGATGCCGGTAAAAGTCTTGTTCCACATAGCCTTGACAATGGCTGTCCCRTCAGACTGATTACCACCCTTGGCCAACGTCTCGTTGAGTGCCAGCCCATACAACAACACGGCGTCATAGAATGCCGTCACAAATGTGGAAACAGCCTCGTTGCCAAACGTGAAATTATATTTTTCTTCGGCCACGCGTTTTACCTGAAAACGATGATAATATATTGTTTCGTTTTTTATTTTTCAATATATATTTTATTTCCTGCTAAATTCCAATAATATAATTATATAATTTTGACATACATCATATTATATACCTAAGTATTAAATCGATAGGTTTGCTTCAACACCTCATCGAGTATCGATGCGAATTTATTTCGTATTAAAATAAAAAGTACGTCTTATTGGTGGACAAGCAAGATCTATAGACTAACACCACAATAGCGTATTAACATCTAATATTATACTACACTATGATAGTGCAAAACAGGAAAGTGGTAAAAATGTGCATTGAGTAGGTCGTACATAAACTTTTCGTCGTCGTATTATAAAATGAAAGACACGCGTCTTCTCGAAATGCTACTCGTATATTACTCATGTGAAACTTCAAAAAGTATGAGATTATTGTAGTAATATTATGTTATCAATCAATTTAATATAGCAGGATTTTGAACGTAGTATTGTATTCACAGAATTTAAATACAGTAGGGTCTCGATAATCCGAACGAGGTTGGGGAAAGGGATCGTTCGGATTAGCGATTTCCGGACAAGTCCGGATTACCTATGGCTTAAAAAAAAACATAAATTGTATTGTAATTTAAGATATGAAATTTTATTTTTATTTATATTAATCGTGTAAAAGCTCGTAATTTCAAAAGACAATGAATAAATAAAAATATTAATATAATTATGAACTTTAATATTTAAAATATCGATTTTTTATTTTGTTCATTGATTCCATTATGGATTGGTATGCCTTGTCTCACATAATTGAAAAATTTTATTAGCGGAAAATATTATTTATAAATACATATATATCTGCATATTATGGCGATAAGATAATTCTCAAGCCCGTTCGGATTACCGCGTCTTTCGGATTAGCTTGTGTTCGGATTATCGAGACCCTTACTGTACGCATATTTCAAACTTCATACTTTATCATTGTTGAGGTACATCGTTTTCAAATTCTAAACCAATCGTTTCGGGCAGCTGGAAAGCTGAGAATCAATTTATATTATGTATTTGATATAGTTATTTTTTTATTCATTCGTTTCTTGCCCAAGCGAACCCTCTACGTCGTTTATACAACACTGTATTGCTTTCATAATAATTACAAAAAAAAAAAAAAAACATTTATTCATAGTCATCTTTCTGTTTACGTATAACCTATGTAGGTAATCAGTTGTCGAGTTAAATAAATTGAATAGAATATTATGTCAAAAATGAATAATAATAATAATATGTTGAACATGTACAATGTGGAGAATACTAAATGGCTTCTTTGAATAGAGTCTGTATAGTCTACATTTACCCTAAATACTGCGCACACAGAATAAATCTAAACCAAATGAAATCACAAAATGTAAAGATCTCGAAGTACTTGCAATTAACATGGCTTGTYGGACGGAAATCCCTGAGAGTTATGCTGTATATCAACCACTAACTATGGGCAAGTACTTACAACTTCCTATGAATGACCTTTTCTTTTCATCTTTTAAAAATGCATTTTCAAAAATAACAACCATTTCCCACTAACGCATTGGTGTACAAATTAACGGTTATTATTTCTCTTTGATTCCCGCAATGCAGATAGATTTTTCTGGTTTTATCAATGTAAATAACATTTCATAATAACGTTATAATAATATAATATTATATAATTTAATTATGCACGTAATCATATTATATTATTACACATATTAATAGTTGTGCTAAATACAGGTACGTATTATACAAWTATTCAATAAATATATAATCATACATTGTATTATATAACTAAACGAATAAAAAAAATAAGTATATATATATGCCACAGTTGAATAAAATGCCAGTAAAAAAAAATATTGATTTTTGCTGTTGCATATATTTTGTATAACTTGTCATAGACAACTTTATACAAAGGTTAGTTCAAATTGTATGAGTGTGTCCCTTCTACATCATAAATTCTAGATCAGTAAAAATCTACAAAGAATAATCTAACTGTGTCCAAAGTGTAATTATAAAATATATTATTAAGTAGGAGTATAGAATAAGAAGAATCATTCCGTTTACGTTCAACCTAAAATGCGAGTAAGTACCTACACAGGAACTCAATAAAACGAAATTATAAAGAATGAATGTCGAAAAATAAATAAAACTACAGCTAAACACATTCAACACCAAAATWTTCGCATAAAATGCGAACTCAAGAGCATGTGTGTATGGACACCGAAGAGATATATTAGGTATACCTATACCGGCTATACCGCTATGTGATAACTACCTAGTTAATTCGGAATAACACATCATGCATCATTGAATGTTGAGCTACAACACGATTGAGCGTAATACTCTTTTTTTACGATACGATCCAGCAAATTTGTCGACGAACCAAATGATATAGAAATACAAAAGAAAACCTACATGATTGAGCATAAAAAACTATTATCAATTTTTCAATTATGAACTCTATTATACAAAAAATATTCATTTAAATACTTTTAATAATTCAAAATATGATAACAATTAAAAGTCTCCAATAAAATTATCATTATATTATTTGGTAAATGGATATCTCACTWAATTTTTTTTAAACATTAATTTCTGTTTTGTCAAATATAGATATTTTATATCAWAATATTTGTATTGAACATAAGTTATTTTTCATTTTTTATTCATTTAATAGCGAATCGAATTGTTTTAAGTGACAATATTGAGAAAAATATACATCTTTAATTTATAAATCAGTAACATTATTAATAAGTTGCATAAGTTGCTCAATTCAAAAAAGATACATCTTAATATCAAGAAGAGACTAATAAAAACATATGTATGGARTGTTGCAACATATGGATGTGAAACTTGGGTAATAAATGATACCGAGAAGAAAAAATTAGAAGCGTTCGAAATGTGGTGCTGGAGGCGTATGGAAAGGATAAGTTGGATAGAGCGGAAAACAAATGAAGAAGTACTAAGTACTAACAGTGGGAGAAAAACGTACACTCATAGATGCGATTAGAGGAAGACGTTGGAAAATGGTTGGACATGCCCTGAGACACCCGGAAGAATTGCATAATATAATATTGGAGGGTATGATAGAAGGAAAGAAAACTGCAGGACGTCCGCGGAACTCGTATATAGGACAAATTAAAATCGATGCAAAAGTCAAAACCTTTAAAGAACTTAAAGAAAAGGCAAGGAATCGGTTAGAATGGAGAATTGGAGTTGTAAACCAACCTTAGGGTTGAAAAAAAAAAAACATTATTAATAAAGCTGGACCGGCTCACTTCTGGCGGCTCGTTTAAGTTTGGTACCTACTATAAAAATTATTGGTAAATAATACGTGAAAATAATAAATTACTAAATTTCGGCTATGTGAATGTGACGAAATCACGTAAAATATCCTCTGCTCAATCGGGTCGCTATGTGTAATAATCATGCTTTACTGGAGAGTTGCCATCTCGTAATTTGAATCACACAATAATTTTTTTAATGTTGCAAAATAATATATCATAGAGGTATAGTTGAAAATTTTTTTAAATTGTAATTACTCCGTAAATATTTATATAGGTAATAAATTATTCATTTCATATTTTCACCAATATGGCTTAAAAATTATTTTAGCTTAATTTAAGACAATATTATGACACAATTATTTCATCCCATCCTCTAGAAATGCAAATTGTATTCAACTCACACCATTCTCCACTGAGTTATATTATAATATTATAAATGTATAAAAATGCTCATAATTTAGGCAACAAAATAATAAAAATAATCAAGCATTATATTCTAAAGGAAACTGCCTTAAATAAGGGTTTATCGCAGTAAAAAACGAAAACTATAAAATTTTCGAAATGATTATGAAAAAAAATCTATGCCACTATAAAATTAACAGAAATGTAATTAAGTTTAAAGACTAAGTAACGAATAATAAATTGAACAAAAATACCAAATCTTAGYATAATATTATGATGTGGTGCTACCAGAGTAAATAATTTTTTTTCAGTAATTTTATAACAATCATTTTAAGACTTATATTTTATTAATGTAAATGCATATAAATAACTATTTAATCAAGCACTTGGCGAAGGGAACGCCAAAAACATATACAATTTTTTCAAAAACACAGGCTTAGTAAAACTAATTTAGAAAAATAACCAAATGTAAAATATTCTATAAACTCCCTCTATTGTTAAACATAATGTATCCCCATAGTTTTAAGACCTATTACCACTATTTTGTAATTGTTACAGGCTAATAACCTCATGAGTTCAAGCCTTATTTAAATAAAAAAAAACTATTTAATCCTGAAATTATTCATTTTTGTAATTACGGATATTATTTTTTGATAAATTATTGATGTTAATTATATTTCAATTAAATTTATACCTACATTATCTACATTTTAATTTAATTAATGTTTTTATAATCCCAGGTTGTAGATAAGTTTTTTTTTTTCAAATTACATTTTACCTAAAGATAATGCAGTGATCCAAACTTATTTTTTTCTAAAGATGAACAACCTATTTTTCACAGCAAATCGTTAAAAAATAGATATGTACAAAATAAATAAAATTTAGATGAGTATAGTTATTGAGTTATGTGTGCCATATTAAAATATAAGAAGATGTTATACAGATATCCACATTTAATCTACCATTTATTATACTATGTATAATGTTAATTTATAATGTAAAATAATAAATTAGTATAATTTCCAAATCATAATAGCACCATATTTTTAAACACTTTAACTGTGGGTTATTATGCTTTTTTTCGATTTAAAACCGTCAGCAGAGGGATTATTATACTAACTGTACAGAATTCAATAATTGATATTTTATAACTCATCGTTCTATTTTTTATTAATTTACATTAATTTAAAAAACAAAAATTTGCAGTAATACAAAGTGGTTCTCATTTTAAATATAATATAATTTATGTTTAAACCATACTACCGCATAGAATATACTTTTAAAATTGCATAAAGATGTTTATTTATTTAATTATAGAATGTGGTGTTGGAGATATCTAARAGTTTAAAAAACAGCGTCTAAATAAATTTAATCTTAAGAAAACAAAAATAGATGCGAACATGCCTAATTAATCACTCTTTGTATGTTATAATTTATAATAATTTTCGAATTATTATGAATATTTTGATATTTCGGATGAAATATACGACCATCGTTTTGGGTCACATAAGTCATTTTACAAAATAAAACGCCCGTCTGACCTAACGCACATGACCTAACAGAGCCACCACACCGAATTGTTGCGATAAGGTAAACTGATCGATTTATTGCCGACCCAAATATACAGATAAATTAAAAACTGTGTTTTTTGAACGAAAAACAAAAATAACGCAAAAAATTCATTGTGTATCAGATTATATAATGTATGTGGAATAAAAATTGAAATTATCATTTTTRTCCTCATTGCTTTTTTTTTTACTTACCTCGACGGAAAAGTTGCGATACGCTTCATTGTCGGGTTCACGTGCCGTCACCGTTAGCAGTGCGCTGTACGCCTTTTTCGCACGCTCGTTCCGTTCCGCTGTGTCGTTGCTCACGTACCACGGTGTTAAAGATCCGTTGTTCAGACTAGGGAAAAGGTAACAAAAATTTAAAAATTTAAAATTTAAAATAATAAACAAATAAATAAATAAATATTAAAAAAATAACAAATGTTTTACACAAAAGTACGCCGCGGAGATGGTCTCTTGGCTTTTACACTGAGTGATAAAAATGCCATTATTGAAGTGCCTTAACACGAGACTATTAGCAGCCAGACGCACATCCGCGACAACTACAAACCATTACGATCACTCTTAATATAACGATATGACATATATACAATAAAAATTACGTTTATATAAATAAATGTATATCAATGAATGGTGATGTAGGAGACGAGGACCAGCTGCCTGTAATCCGTCGCACTCTCGCTCTCGCCTCGCCTTCGTCCTCTCGACGAGACAATTTTTGCAACGACTTCTCTCTCACATAACGCAATATTACACTGTATACAGTACAACAAGACTATAATAATATAGTAATATATATATGTAAAATATTATATACCTAATGCGTTCATATTTTCGCTGTATAGTATCATATTATAATATTGTACATCAATCTCAACTTCAAATATGTCAAACGTAAATTATTAATTATACCATTGTCACAAAGTTGACTTCTATAATCATATTATCGTTTTTTTTTGTTTTTCAGAAAAACACCGTGCAATATATAACTGAATTTCAGTTATGATATTATTATTTTAAAATAAAATCTCGTTATTTGTACAAACGTAATATTACCTATAGAGTATTTTACGTCGAAAAAATTTTACAAATTTGATAGTAGGAACTTAGGAATGGAAAACCGAAATGAGCATTGTTTATTTTCTAAGAATTATATTTTAAGCTTAAATCATAAACAACTGAATTGATGGCTGATTAAATTTCATTTAAGGAAATGTGAAGAAATAAAAGGTTCATCGAAAGACCAATATCATAGTCCATCATAGACCCAAGTTATATTGAACTATAATATATTTGTCCCCGAATACTCGTATACACAAAACATACATATATTATTAAATTGAAACGGAAAAAAGAAGCTTTGAMATTGCATTAAATACTTTGGGGAAAACTCATGGGATATTCATTTTAGGGTGGTAATGCAAGCTGCTTTGTAGTAATACGATAAAGCCTCTTTCGTATTTCCAATAGTGTAACGTATATGACGTGTGAAATATCAATACGAAACTCCCGATAAAAAATAAAATAAAAAATGAAAATCCTGTAAAYGTCAGTTTAAATAACTCCACGAATGATATATTTTTATAACGTGTTTAAAAGTACCTTTTTAACTATTTAAAAAGTACCTCGCCTAGAGGATTTTAATCAAGCAAGTTAATTTTCATGAAATGTGTATTTATTACATATTACTATATTGAATTGTAAAAAAATTAAGTCTTTTGTTACCTACCTACCTTTTTTGAATATATTAATATTAAACATGGTTTTTTTAATGCTAAGACATTAAGTATCTAACAAAATTAAATATTATTAATTTAACCGAGCTTTTTTAATATGTTATTCATTTAATAGACAATATATTATAAAAATATAATTAATTAGTTAGATACACGACTGCGAGTTGATTTTGAGAACAATTTTATACAGAGTACGATTATCCGAAAAGGTTAAACGATATCATCTATAATAATATGCATTTTATAATATTTTGAATTAATGAGACTTTTATATTAAAATTGAATAGAATTAAAAATAATTGGCTTGGGAGACCAACMAAGAGTTATGACTTCATAAAAATAATATCCAATTAAGTATTTAATCACCATAATATTTATGACATTCAACTTATATACAGTATACATACTTATTAGCAAAGCCTTGAAAGCTAGCTTAAGATATTTGACAATTATTGAAACTCAAATTTAAATATCTATCCAATTTTTGAAGTTTTTCAAACATACCTAATATGTATATTGTATATTATAAGAGTACTACTCTATTACCTACTGTTTAAGATAAATTGTTAATGTTTTAACTAATAGTTTTATTGCCTTAATATACTCGATAAATTTGGCATTTATTTTGTCAGTCTATTTTGAAMTATTATTATATAGATAATGAAGTGACGAAAGTTATACGAATTGACAAAGCTGCTTGCGCTTTATATCATAATGTAATAACGGGAAACGAATGTTACAGGAAATTATCTTTACAAATACAGAAACACACAGATACATAATGTTAATAAAAAAAAAATTTAAGAATTTTCATTTCGTTTGTGCCACCAAATTATCTTAATTGGAATAGTCTACGTATTAGCAATCGCATAATAAAAATAAAAATAGACTGCGGGCTTGAGTTTTAATGAGATTTTAATGGGATTTTCATTATTCACATTTTCGCTAATATATCTGTAAGCAGGACGTCCTATAATAATATAATACACATCCGCWTAAATTATTGTTTCACCGTGTTTTTAAATCCCTGACTGACGCATGACGGTCAAGTTAAAATGTAGGTCCAAATTATTTCACTCTTTTCGTTTTCTTTTTGCCCCTGTAATCCGATGGACCCGCTGTCACGTGTTCAAAAGAATAAAAATAAAACATTGGAGCGAGAAAGAAAAGGGAGCAAAAAAAAAAAAAAATAGTGAGAAAGGTTTCGCACCATCTACATCCTTAATACAAATATCGTATTCGTTTCAAAAGACTTAACTAACCCCGCAACAATTTAATGGAGGCTTTTTCTTATATGTAATACAATATAAGTAAATAATAATTTTATTTTTTTATTTTTAGTATATCCTAATGTTATTTCTATTACAATTTACAATTAATTTAACCTTGATGATTAGTATAAAAAAAGTAACAATTAAAAATGTAGGTTTGTAATCTAAATATGAGTATATCAWATTGTTCATAAAATTATTTGAACACTAAAAATCTGAGAAAACTGTAAAAGACACTTTGAGACAGTTAATATTAAACTGTTTGTGGAAATAATTATGCATGAACATATTTTTAACGATTAAGTAAAAATATTAAAGTACTTGAATATTTATTTTGTAGTTTAATATTAGAAAAACTAAACGCATTATGAATTATTGCTTAAACTTAAGAAATTTGGTCTATGCAATTTTTTTTCATATGACCAATGTGGATGTAATGTTGAACATTTGCTCTACAATTTTACCAATGATTTACATAATAATTAAATCAATGTTAAAAAATTAAAATTATACTAATTTAAACATATACATCAGTTAATAGCAGGTTTTTCGCTGTATCTTGGATAAGTTTATTATTTTATTTTATTTAATTCAATAATAATATTCATCCTTGCTTATCAAAATCCAAAAAAACCATTTCTATTCCATATTGTCCTTCAAAAAATATTTTTTCCCTTGTGTTCATCTTCCATTTTGAGATCGTTGATACACACACTTTACGAGTTACAAACTTAAATTAAACTTTTACTACAGACTAATAAATAAAATAAATTTATTAAACACTCAGATATCACCCTTTTTAACAGTGAACCTATGCATTTTTTATCATGTTGTAAGTCACTCTCTGAATATTTAAATAACAAATTTTTAATCTATGACTAAGAAATTTAAAAATCTGTTTCAACATAACATATTACACAAAATGAATTTCTTTAATAATTGTCTCACAAAGAATAAACGATTAAGTTTACTACAGCGTTGAAAATGTAATTTTATTTATAAATTTATGAATGCCAACTCAAAAACTGAAACATTTACAACAAAACTTATGAAAAACATTCCTTTCGTTTATGGGTATCTTCTTCTTCTAACCAACCGACGGTTAAAGAACATTTACGTATTTCTCATGATATAACCATAAATGAAGATTGTTAAAATAAATAGTTAATGAGTATTAAATGATATTTTGCTCATATTTAAACAAAAATGAACTAATTTTATTCTAACCGAGCCAATATTTATAGTGATTAGATTATTTTTTAAGTACAATCAAAGCGTCATTTTCAATCTAATCAAAATTTTTATTTTTAAGAACAAAATAGGTTAAGTCATAATGGAGTATGAGTGTGACATGCAAATAAGAATAATAAAAAAAAGAACCGAAACAAGGATTAAAGGGTAATGCGTAAGCGGGAAAGTTTGCTCTCGTAAGAGCATTGTCACCGATAAAATATTCCTGAATGTATTATATAGTTTAAAATTATCACGATCATATTGTATTATCCTTGACAAAGATGCTGAAGTGGCTATGTAAAACTCCAAATATGATTTAATAAAAAACTCAGAATACTCACTATAGACGTAATTTCCTTCAAGAGAAACGTGCTTACAGTAATATAGACGATCCTACGATAGGATATTTATTCCTCAAACATAAAATACCATTCATCACACAAATATAATGCCCATATATTATGATATAATAATTATTATTACATCATATTATGTTTAGATTGGATTTGCTAACTGAATATCATCAAAATAGATGGCACGAACCGTTACTCGAATGCACCACCTATTCTTATTCGCAGATTTCGTAAATCACCATCCATGTCAATGCATGTGTTACGCACTCAATGAAATGTTTAAAATATGGGTTAAATTTAAAAAGTAAAAACGTTTAGATTTTCGTCTATGTAAAATTGTGTGTTTTTAAATTTTTTGAATCTTGAAGATATAACGTTTTTTATATATAGATAAACCAAAAATAATTAATCATAATTATTATGTTTAAGCTATCCAACACTAATGTACAATGTGAAACTTTTACAGGCTAGTGACCTCTGCTGTCAAAGCTTTTACTCTTAATAAAAAAAAATAACAATAATAATTATGTTTGTTGTATATTATGTATCTAATTCCTATTTTTTTTTCTATATTTTAATTTAAATCATAAAACCTCTCAACATAAATATTATGAATAAAATCAAATATGAATTCGATAATTTCATTATCTATATATTTTTATCGAGCATAATAGTTGCTTAATAATGCTTATGGCTCACTGTTTTTAATGTCTTTATAAGTGTTACAAAAACTATTATTAAAAA